TGGGCACCCCCAGAGATTCAGCTTCATGGCTGACAGGCGGCAATGGCAGGGGCTTCACCGATACCCTTGGTAACCGTAGTAGTTCCTGTAGTATCGGTCTCTGTCCTGGGGATGGTGGTAGTAGTAATTCTGCCACTAGAAGAAAGGGGAAACTCCATCACTTGGAGCCACAGCTGGCTGAGGACGGAGAGGCATGACACTCATCCCTTTGGCCCTGCCCCCCTTCATCTCTCTATCCCCAGATGATACTTACATCCCGACTGTATTGTCTGTAATAGTCTCTGTATCTGTTGTACTCATAATCTCGCCCATAGAACCGATCGTAGTCTCCCCTGTATCGATCGTAGAAATTACGGTAACCCTGAGAAAGGAGAAAGAGAAAGAGTGAAGATGTATGGGCTTTCAGCATGACAATCCACTGCTATCCCCCATCTTAAATGAGACACATCTTCACTTGATATTACAAACAAGCTTAACCTTCCCAGGATAAAGTCTTCCAGAGGAACAAATTAAATGGGCAAAACCCTAAGCCCTGAGAAAACAGCCCAAACCACTCTGCTTCCCCAAGCCAATAGGAATGGCTGTCACGGCCCAGAGGGAGGAGCAGAAGGAGAGCTGCACTCACCCCTCTGTTTCCAGACTGCCCCCAGTACTGCTGCCCGTAGGCCCGGTTGTCGTAGCCTCGGCGCTGCCCGCCCACTGGAAGAGAAATGGAGAGCGCGCTCAGACAGCTGGCATGGGGTCCTGGCTCCACATCTGAGTGGAAATCAAAAAGTCGGAGCCAAAGGCAATTCTGGGGGAATAGGAGGCCTGCTTCTGCCAGGCGCACACAATGTTAATTAAAGCACCAGCCAGGATCTTTTAAAAAGTCTGAGGTGGGGGAGGGCAGAGGAATAGAGACACAAGAAAACCAAGCCACCTTGGTTTCACCTTTTGAAGCTCCCCAATTCCTGCAAAACATTTAAGATGCCAAAAGGATACATGGCAGAGTTAGAAACATGAGTAAAAACTGCCATTCGTAGAGTCACAGACTTTCAGCCCTGGAAGGGATCCTGGATATCACATAACCCACACCTATCATTTTATACAAATGAACAAAGTCTAAATGATAAGCTCTTCCAGGGTAGGAACTGTTGGTATTCCCATTGCCCAGCACGTAGCAGGCACTCAAAAATTTTGTTGACTTACACTTATAATTACACACACACACACACACACACACGTGCATTTTTAATGCACAGTGAATGCACACTGTGGCGGGGGGTGTTAACTGACAAACTAGACATTCAGGAGGGAAATTAATTCCACTAATAAGCTAACTTACTGTCTAACACCCCCGCCCCCAGATTACTGAATAATGCATTCACTTTCTGCTCTATACAGTTGGGTTGATCCAATAGACAAAGTAGCAAAGAAAAAGATAAGAATCTGATTTCACTGCACAAATCCTTCAAATAAACTACAATAGTGAATGGGGAATCCATATGTAAAAGTGAAAACTACATAAATGAACAGGCTCAAGCATTGCTTTTCAAGGAAACAAATATTTTTGTTGAAAAATAACTACCTTTTGTTGAAGGATTATGGAAAAAGCACAAGAAGCTGGGAGTAAAGAACACAGGAAGAAATAAGCTCCATAAGAAGGGACTTCCTTATTGTTGGTGATCTGCCTTGGTTTGCCTGCCCTTTCCTTGTGGGTCCTGCTGCACTCAGCACAGAGAACAGACTGAGGCTTGGGCTGGCAGGTCCCCAGGACTCACCGTAGCCTTGGCCTCTGCTTCGGTTCTGCCGGTTTCGCTTGTTTCGATTGTTTCGGCGGTTTGTCCGCTTCTCGGAGGGCGGCAGCAGCTTCCTTGCCTCCTCCCTGTACTTAGTGACAATGGGCTGAGCTTCCTCCTTCTCCAGCTCCCCGTATGTCACCTCATCCATATAGTCGCATTTTTCAGGCAGAGAGAAGTTGGCTGTTAAGAGTAAGAGAGAAGCTTGTGGGCCTCCAAGAACGTAGACGGGTAAGATCTCATAATGAAAACCCCACTACAAGAATAGGATTTTCTAAGCCTCATCTATTAATGCACAGAAGTGTGCTGGGTTCACTCTTCGGGTTTTCCCTAAACTGTAACAGCCCCAGGCAAAGGGCTATCTGCAAACTGTAGATTTACAAGTTCTCAAGTGATCCATAATAAATTAAGAGTGAACTGGGTTAAGGTTTCTTATCAGGACAGAAGCAGGCAGCCAGAGGCTAAAAGTAACTGAGAAAGTTTTGGTGTTGGTTAGATAAGAAATACACTTTTGAAGAGACTCAAGAAGAAACTGACCCCAGCCTAAAGGCACTTACTCATCTATACAAGAAAAACAGTTAACAGGAGTAGGGGTCCTCATTAAAACCACCTGTGTATGATGGGCCAGCACACTTGCTAGTCTCTAGACATCAAGTTCAGAGGCTGAGTCCCAGCAGAATTCAGTTCAATGAGGCTCTCCTGATTCTGAGATGAATCCAGTTAGCCCTCCGTTTTATAAAACTGAACTAAATTCCTCCGAGTGCTTGAGTACCGGTATGGACTGGCCTAGTTCATTCTAAATAAACTTGGAGAATCCAGCTTTTAAATGTGTAACCAGCTCCCATGCCTGGGCATTATCAGAATTCAAAGAGCCAGTAGTTGACAGCTCAGGTGGGTTGTCAGGCGCCGAAGGCAGCAAGGGGAAAAACCAAACTCTGAGGTGAACAGCAAAAAACTATATCAATCAAGATAGTTAATTTTGCCTTCTAGGGAACCTTGCTGTAAGGCTTTGTACCACACATATCAAAAACCAAAACAAACAACAAAAATAAAAAACAGGCCTAATGTGATACTAGAAATCAAAATATACTGATGAGATCATTCACTCCAACCACTACCATTTTAATTTGAACCACAAGCATGTCCCATCTCTAGAATATAAATTCGGTGAAGACAGAGCTTCATTTCATTCATTCTTCCCCTATGTCTAGAACAGTACTGGACAAACAGTAGACACTCTTATGTATTTACTAAATGAATAACTGACTCATTGAAGCCTCTGCCTTAAGGCTATCATCCTGTGGTCTATCACCATTTCTCTTTTTGTATTTTATCAGAATGAATCAAGGGGTTATTGCTTCACCATTCACTCTGCTCATTCATTAATCTTCAAGTGATCACACCCATTAATTTATTCCACAGATTTACACTTTACATGTGGAGAATCCTCCAGGTGCTAAGAGGCTCCAGTGAGGTGTGCATGGACCAAGGACAGGACCCCTAACTTGTAGAGTTTAGCCCACCTTTCATCTCCAGCATTATAGACTCAGGCACATCATCTCCCTCCACTTCCTTCCTCAGCTCCAGCCTCTTCTTCCAGTCCTCCTCATTAGGGACGACCACCACCACTTTCCGAGAGAAAGTCTTAAACAGCAATAGCTTCCGCCGTTGGCCAGAGTTGTACACGTTACACTAGGAACAAGAGGAGTAATAGACGTTTTAGGAATAAAAATTAAACACTAATTCAACCAACAATTTACTGAGCATCTTTCACAAATGAGGCACTAAATTAGGGGTCTTATTTACACAATCTCTTTGAATTCTTCAAAAGCTACATGATGTTATCCTGTTTTACACAACATGAAAATTGAGACTCAGAGAGGCCAAGACTTGTCCAAGGTCACAAACCCAGTAAGTGGTGGAGCCATGAATCCAAAGCTCCAACGCTCTTTCCATTGCCTCTAGAATGTGTTTTACAGTCTGGGTCCATACACTCTCTGGTAAAATCACTAAGAGTTGTATCTCTGAGCTCAAAACACATTACAACCGTAACACAACTACTTAGTCATAATCAGGTAACCTGATTCTGTTACTTAATTCAGTCTTTCTCTATATATGCACCCTATTTTGACTCTGAGCAATTTTTTTTAAAGGGATTTAAAAAAAAATTATTTATTTTGGCCGTGTCGGGTCTTAGTTGCAGCATGCATGCGGGATCTAGTTCCCTGACTAGGGATTGAACCCAGGCCCCCTGCACTGGGAGCACAGAGTCTTACCCACTGGACCACCAGCGAAGTCCCTGAGCAATTTTATCAGATTAAATGGATACCAAATCTTTTATCTTTGGACCTACTGTTAAATTCGGTTTCTTTTGAATGTTTGAACAATACCTGATCAAGAATGAAGTTCCTCTTTGTCCGGGAAGCAATCTGGACCAGCTTACTAAGGCACTGGGAGGCTTGCTGAACTAAAAGGTCTCGGCTTTTGGGGTCCATCTGTGGCTCCTCGAGCCCCTTCATCTAATGAGTTTGAGAGGAAGAGAAACACAAGGAGTTACACACTAAGTTAAAGCCCAAGAATCACTGGTAAATGCCACAACACCACCACATCAGTTCACTGACATTGCTCAGTGCTGTGAATGTTGTCCATTTCCTACAGAACTCATTTCCAGTCTCAATGTGGATAAACTCCAGACTTTACCAGCTTTCAGATTTGACAACACAGCAAAGGAAAAGAAAAAAATCTACCGTAAACACATAGTGAGAACGCATTTCTTTATTTGTGGGGCCCTTGTTCTCAGACACCTGAAAGACCAACTCCACTGGGAAAAGATTATATAAGTTTCTTGGTACCTCAAGAGCTAACATCACAGCTGACTAACCCCTCCCAGCAACTCACCCTCATTTGATTGAGCACAGTCTCAGCTCCCAGGACATTGTATCTTTTCTCAGGGTTTTCTTTTGCATATTTCAGTGCCCACTGGGTCTTTCCAGATCCAGGCAGTCCCACCATCAGAATCACCTGCAAGTAAACAGAACCAGGAATGCTATAAAACATAAGTGAGGGTCATGTTTACAAAGCCCAATTTAAGAACATCCTCCCGTTCCCCCAGTTGGGTAAAGTTTTCAGAAGAAAAGCGACCCACCCACCGTTCCAAGCATGAGCACCAAGGTTCTGCACACTCTCCAGCATACCTCACACTCCTCTATGGTCTTGGGAGGGACCGCAGTGCGCACGCGCTCCTCCACAGGCACGGCATGGATGAACACAAACTCTTCTGGCGGTGGGAAGAAGGGCTCCTCCTTCTGACCAAAATTTAATTCTACAACACAATTTTTGCAGAGGACATGGGGTAGGAGGGCCCGGTCAGCCAGGGATTCCTTGTTGATACGGAACGCCACGCCAAGGTCTTCTCCATTCTTGGAAAAGGAAAGTTCTACTTCTTCAGCCTCAAAATTCTACAGCGACGAAAGACAAGAGCATTTATGGGCACATAGAGCTTGAGGTTGATTAATCTTACAATTTAATCTTTTTTTTCTCTACTCCAACTGCTGTACTAAACAACTACGTGAGCAACGCATCAAAGGCAGAAAAGACAGCAGCCGATGGGAAGCAAATTGATCCCTAGTGCCCTCTATTTACTCCTTGCTACAAATCTACAACTTTCAGGAGCACTTACAGCAAAGCAGCCAATGACATCACTCTCCCCAAAAGTCTGGCCAAATTCTTCAAACTGCCCATTCTCTGCCTTGAGTCCTCGTCCATCGAAACCATAAGAGAATTCATCCTCACCTAGAATAATCAGCAAATTAGTTACCTAAACTCAAACCTCCCACGGAGCAGCAAACACTAAAATGATTACGTTAAAAATAACTTTACCAAGCTGTGGATGGGAAAAATCAACAGACCATCCAACTCGAAGGAGAGAAACCTCTGTGCAGCCTTCTTTCATTGGGAGATTCTGGGTTACCTGGCCAAGTCAGAAAAGGAACTTTCAGATACTCGAGCAAAGTCTGAGTTACACAAGATTTTGATACAAACCGAAAACGACAACTATCACAACTCAACATCAGAAAAACAACTGTCAATGAACTTAAACCAAAGCCATGAGGGTCAATTTCTCGGTTACCGGAGCTACGGTTGTCATTCAAGTGTGGTGCCTTTTTCTGCACTAATAAAATACTGGTAGGCAGTAAACTACTATGTACTGGAGCCCACTCCATAGTAGTCTAATGACTAATTTAATAAATGAACGGTCCTAATGAGCTGTACACACTACCTTGGCCTCAAAGCAGACTTTCCCCTTTGTCACTCCATAAGTACTTCTTGCCCCAGACCAAAGGGTGGGGAACTTCTCTGAGAAAAGCGGCTGCCCTCCATAGCGGTCTTTGCTCACTTGAAAATGGAGATCCGAGGTATCTGTTAAGAAAGAAGCGATCTGTTTACTCCAATGCCCAACACTTGAAGCCACCAATAGAACACAAGTATACCCAGTTCTCAAGAATGGATACAAAGTTTAAATCTTTTCAAAGCTGCAGGCCATGAAGTTTTAATCTCCAAAATCACTTTTGATTGGTTTAAAACCTCAACCTGTCTGCCTTATACATACACGTGTCCAGGTTCACAAGAGTCTGATCCTCTTCCTCATCTTTTGCCTCTTCTTCCGGGGGTGGTGGAGACTTTGAACTATACATATGAGAGAAAAGCAAATACAGTGTAACCAAAGTCCTCTAATTTGAGAGGTGTCTGCATGACATCAGGTCTGCTTATCAGCAAATATAAAATTCCAGCAGACAGCTTCTTTCAACACACGTGAAAAGGGCAACAGGAGCTTTCAGGGTAGATTTAATCTAAAACTTAGGCCTGTGAAAACCTATTCCATTTTTAATCCATCCCTCTTTCCAGACTCTGCAGTCAACATCAGGTATACCAAAATCAGAGCAGACACTCCCTTCAATGAAAGGGACTATTTCCCTCACCGGCTGTGGTAAGCCTCCTCTCGGAATTCATAGTAAGCTCGGCCATGTTCATCCTTCTCATCCCGCTGTCTCTTTACCCCCCGCCGCTCACCATCTGAGCCTGCCGGTTTTGACTTTTCACTATCGTGGTCAACATCTCCTACAAAAAGGAGGGAAAGAAAATCAGCAGTTTTCATACTGGAGTGTAAGCTCAGAACCAACAGAAACTAAAGGAGGACCTGCATATCTGTCTAGTCAGAAGAGCCAGGTTTTTCCCATTGCATTCACAGAATGTTCCATTTCCAAAGATGATCATCTTCCTGTCACTGGCTGGGGTTTTATTTAAAAAAAAAAAAAAAAAAGGGACATTATGGGCTAATTACAGTCAAGCAGTAGATTAAAAATTCGGCAACTTTTGCATTCTAAATTTATCTGCTTAAATCAGGTCAAACTTGCAGATTTTTCCCACCAATATGACATAAAAGAAACATCCCATGAGTTTTTTAAAAACTTCATAGCTTAACTTCGATTCCTGACTATCAGATTTGGATTTAAGCTGGACACTTAATATATGTTTTCCAACACTTTTCCACAGGTTCATGTTACAGAAGCCTCAATTTTTTTTTTTTTTAAGGGTTTGCCTTTCCAGCTTTGAAACGCACAGCCATCCACAGCTTTACTTACATAGCTAATGTACTATGGTGTATATACAGAGAGGTATTTTTATCACAGATTTTTACTGAAACTTGCAGGAGCAAACCATTAAGTCACAAGAGACCCATAAATAATACTGCATCTTTACTGCACATAATTTGGGGCAGAAAAGTGTTGTCATATATTTAGCAACATTCTTCACAAAAGGAGAAAAAAAACAATTTTTCCTTGGACTTTTTTTGGTTTGTAACACTAAAGTTTTTAATAATAACTTCTTTAAAGAAGTCCTTTATCCCTCAACCTTTTTTATCTGCTATCTGGCGGTACACGTTAAGTGAAAGGTTATGTAATGGGATTTTTGTTCCAGAACATAGGACAATCTGCAAGTTGCATGTGACTGTTGTAGAATGGGTTCCAATTATACCATCATACCAAGCAGCAGCCTAAAAAAATGTATTATAAAAGGAACTAAAGCAAGCCACTTCATATTAAGAATGGGAAGCAGCTCCAGCTTTCCTCCCTACTCTGACAAGACAGTTATGGATCAGCTCCAACCATCCAATTACTTCAAAGAGAGAAAGGTCACTAACTCCCTAGGGCAACTCTATACAGTCTCTTCCACAAGGTTACTCAATGGACCCACCAACACCCCAATCATTTCAATTCAGGAAGTCAAGGACCCGAAATGTAAAAAGCTGGCTAAGTGTACAGCAAATATACAAATTTGCCCATCCATCTAGTCAGATGAAAGATTAAAATTTAATCGTAAGAATTCAGGCAAGGTTAAACCCCTAGCCAAATAATGTTGATTAACATTCTAAATGCTGTAGATTAAAATTTTTTTCTTCCGTAGTTAACGATTAAACTTGACACCCTCACACCACAGGCTGCTGAAGCAGGAGCTGCTGCTAAAGCAGGAGCAATGTTAGATTTCCAGATTTTCGGTGTGGCTCAAATTCTAATATTGAGCTTTTGATGGAGCGAACTTTGACGAACTGAGCTTATTGCTTAATTTTATGGCGAAAAAGTCAACAGTCGGGCAGAAGCCTCCAACAGTCGGTCTGGCTGTCCGTGTAATCAACAATTCCTCAGTGCATTCTCGGTTTAGGAAAAGATAACCAGCACCGCGGAAGGCTGCTCCAACAGGTAGCTCATAAGCAGTTCGCAAGCAACATCGCTTACTTCCATCCACTACCACCAAGCAACCAAGTTAGGCAGGAACCTCCCGCCTGCAGAGAGTGGGGCCACCAGAGGTAGTCAAACCCCCCAAAAAGGTGGGTAGAGGACGAAAGCCACCTCCCCTGGGGAGTCCCACCGAATGGCGATGGGAATCGAACCCCGCGATGCAGGGCTTGGTGCTGGGTCAGGGGCGCACCCGGCAGGTTGGAGCCGGGCTCCGCTGCCAGCTCCTCACCCTGTTCCTCTGCGGCCTTGTCACCCGGCGCCTCGGATCCCGGCGTCTCGTCTCCGCTCCGATCCTCCGGCTCATCTTCCTCCCCCTTGCCGGTGCCCTGCTCTTCGCCACCGTTCACCCCACCTGACTCGGCTGTGGCCTCCTCCGCCGGTTTCTCGGAAGCATCGGGCTCGGCCGCGGCCTCCACGGCTGCCGCCTCCGGGGGCTCCGGCGGCGGCTGTGCGGCCTGGCCCGAGGCCTGGGCAGGGGGGGGCTCTTCGTCTTCGTCCTCAAGCAGCGCCTCCTCGTCCTCCTCCTCCTCCTCTTCGTCCTCCTCCTCGTCCCCGCCCGGGCCGCCGCCCGACGCGGCCACAGGCCGAGGCTCCGCCTTGCAGGCCCCGCCGGGCCCGGCCCCGCCACCGCCGGCCTCGTCCTCGAGCATCTCGGCGTCCAGCGCCTCCTGCAGCCGCTGCGCCAGATCCACCTTGAGGCCGCGCGAGTCCAGGCCGCGCCGCTGCAGCTCCGACCGCAGCTCGGTCACTTTCAGCCGCTTCACCTCCATCGCCGCCGCCGCCTCCTCCGCCTCCCGCCGCCTCCTCCCCTGAGAGCCGTCGACCGAGCCCGACCGCGCAGGCGCCGCCGCCGCCCGCCTCCGCCTCACGCGCCAGCACTGAGCCCGCGCGAGCGAGCGCACGCACGTAGGCACGCAGGCAGAAGGCCGCAGGCAGCCTCTGCTACGTTAGTGTTTGTTTCTCGCCCTTCCTCCCTCCCCCTTTCGGCCCTCGGAGCCCAAAACAACACAGCAGGGAGCTACTTCCTCTCCAGCCCCCTTGGTTCCCCTGCCGCGGGCGGGC